AAGGTTATGAATAATTAAAAAAGTATATTTCTTAATGATTGAAAAATATTACAAAAATTTACATCTCATAAAATATAATTTCACAGAAAAGGAGAAAAGTAAAGCATATAATCAGTTACTGTTTGCGCCAAATTTTTTATGAGGTCACCGTAAAGCCTATAGTTATGGTAAGACCTCTGTGCGATAGAACATTTTTAGACTAAGGAAATATCTGATCTTTTATCGAGCAGTGACATTTTAAAAATATTCTAATAATTTTGAGATAATAACATATTGACTTCATAACTTTCTTAATTTCAAAGCTGTTGAGAAATTAAAAAGGCATTATGATGCTGTTCATTAAGTGAAATGCTTTAATTTGTTATTCTTGGATTAATTTCGATTAGTTTTAACTTATTCAAAGGTCTTAAACTTAAAATAATTTTTGCAACTTACACAATTTTCATTGTAATCTGCATGAGTTTTGCTAAATCATCAAGGATACAAAACAAGCTTAGCATTTTAGCTAGCAAGCAACTGTGATGCTGAAAATCCGCTAGCACATGGTGCCGCCGACTCGTCATTATATCGAGAAGGCGGTGGTGCTGAATCCTCGTCTACTTGCTCAGTCTCGGATATTACAAAAAGAATTGACGAAAGATTGCCAACTAGTAGTTCTTGGCCTGAAATCGAGCCAAGGCCAACGAGTCTTGGTCTGATCCATTGTTCAATACAGCATTTTCCAATTAGAAAACGTCTCAGAGTTTCGCTACTAAAAGCCGAAGGTTTATCCACATTTTATGATTGTTATTTTTTAATCAACTCAGGTTTCTGAGTTGCATTAGTTTAGAGAGACTTATTATCATTGTGAGGTATAAAAAGCTTTGGAATTAATTTTCACTGTTATGCAGGAAATATTCAAAAATATTTAAGACAGAATCTATTGTCTTCACTTTGATTGTGATAGACAAAATTAATAAAATCATCGAAATTGAATGATAACAAATGCTTTCGTTATTTCTCTTCTTAGTCTTGCTACTCAATAGCACCTTCTGCTAAATTTAAAAGTAAAAAGTGCATATATCTAAGCTGTGCTCCGCGGAAAGTATTCCAAACGTTAAAATGGTCACAAAGTTGCTGGGATGAATCGAATTTAGAATTCGGATCGAAAAATTTTCTCACTGCCTTCAAAAAAATTTTATTGTTCTGAAAACCTGGTTTTTTATCATGCTTTCTTTTCATAAAACGGAAATGCGCTGATAAAGTGTGTTATGCAAATAGCGAAATGTTTATTGAAGTAACTTTTATTGGCTTTAAGTTAAGTTCCCTCGCATTAGCTTAGGAATGTGAAAATTGCCGTCATTTATAACAATTTGTTTTGAAAATTCAGAATATGACAAAGTTGACGAGAAAAGCAAAAGTCGGTGAAATATTTTTTATAATTTAGCAAAAAATAAAAGGCAAAATTTTGTTTTCAATTTAGTTATTGCAATTTCAAAATAAGGCTTTTTCTTAACAGTTCTTGCATTAATCACATTTTCAGCATTACTTTTGAAGTCATGGAAATTATAATTAAGTTGCATTCAGTTAAAAGTATTATGGACAGTTTCAGAGTTCCTTACTAGCCAAAGGAACATTGCGAGTCCGAAGTGATATATTAGATTAAAAAATTAAAATAATAGTTCTAATAATTTCGAGTTGCAAAAATAAAAATCAGTATGAAAAGGATAGATCAATTTGGCTTAGTATACAATAAAATGAATTAATTGTTTGAGCTAAAGAACGTTCTGTAAAAAGCACGTAATGAGAATGCTTAACAATTATAAAACAAAAATTCTGTTTCACTTTTTATTACAATAAGATTATTCAATATTTTCACATCTCATAACTAACTTTATTGGAAATGTTAAATTTCAGCAATTTTTGCATACCATATAATTGAATAATAATTACGAGACTCAAAATTATTATTTTGTTTTTGCCTGTTTTACTAACATTTTGTTGATGCTTTGTGTTCACGCATCGCAGTTAATTTATTTTAATTGTCCCGAAAGTTTACCAAAACTAATAATGAAATGAAACTTTTGTAAAAATTGCTCAAGTTGCTATGTTTAATGTTAATTGAGTGTAAATGATATCATTAAAATTTTCAGAAATAAAAAAAATGGAAAATGTAAGAAAACTGATTCAATTTACCACTGTTAACTCTTAATGGAAAGCAGAGCAGCAAAAATGTAGATGAAATCCCAAAAAATATTCAAGGATTTCGATGTTTTTCTGAGTAGCAATCTCAACCTTTGCTTCGTTTAATTTGCTTTCTAACAAATATTTTCAAGCAAATTACTTTCCGATAACTGCTACCCTTCCGTTGAGTACACTTCACTAAGCATACTTTGTTTTCTTTGCATTGCATCTGATATTTTCACAAAATGTCAATTTGCTGAACTTTTCGAGAAAAATTATTACATTTGATAAATTAAATGCAGTACTTCAGTGGGAGAGTAAAATCATCAGAAATGCAAGTAGAACATGTGCTTTGAATGAACAAAGTGAATCTCTTACATATATTGTGCGATAAATCTTTTAAATTGCTGCAATCTTTTTATATAAATTTTCAAATAAGGCTGTGAGTTTACAGTGAAGAAATTCAAGAATATACTAAATAATTAAGAATAATATTTGAATTCCTTTTTCAGGTTTAGCAGGCAAGCTAAAACCTGAGTTAGAAATTCATGCATTTTGCAAGATTTCGTTGCAGCCAGGCGGAAAATCATATAATTCAATTGTGAAGCGTGGACGTGATGTTGTGTTCAATCAGGTTGCATTTTAGAAATCTAACACAAAAGTTACCTTGAGAATTTAAAGCGTTTATTATGTTTAATGAATAAGTTATCGTTTTTAATAATCATTTTTGAGCTCAGTGTTGCAAAATATATTAGTCTGTCAGTTTTTTAGCGTTTCTTCACAATACAATAAAAGACTCCAATAGCAAACATGCTGACATATTTTGTGTTAAAATTATTATTGAAAATAATCAGAGCACAACTCTTAAAAAATTCGAATTTGGAGTACATTACAATTTGCAAGAAAGAGGAAAAAATCAGTGAAATATGAGAATGGTCAAAGGAAAAATAACAAAATTAAATAAATTAAATATAGCAATTGTATTAGGCCAAGTGTAGCAATCATTGCTAATAACTTTAACAATAGTACTGTTATTGTTGATTGTCATTCTAATTACTAAAAGCCGAAAGTAAATAAGAAGAGCTTCGATGTTATTAGGAGTTCTTCTTCGACAACGTATCGCTAGAAGAACTGAACGACAAATGCTTGACCATCCAAGCTTACCATCAATCGCCACAAAAATTGCACAAAGACATTGTAATTGGCAATTTATTTGTGCCACTCAAAAATTTCAGTAAATTACGATCAAAAAAAGAAGTGAAAATTATCGAAGAATTAAAGTATCACGTCGACCCCAAGGTTTACTTTGCATTCGTTAATTTGTGTACCGATCAACAGCTCTCATTGACGGATTCTTAGAGCAAAATACTTAATTACATCAAATTATTTCTTTACTAATATAGACAGTATGGCATTACTACTTGATCTATTTTGTTATATCTGAGAGTCATTTGTATGCTCTGGATCTAATCATAATTACACGTAACAAATTTAGATGAAATGTTTACCTCGTTTCAACCAAACCAGTATGAAAGGGAATAAACAGTAACTTTTTTATAAAAAATCGTAAACTGTAACCATTTTAATTCATTTTTATAGCTTGAAATAACAGTCTCAAGATTAAAAAAAAGTCTTAAGTATTTTATTACTCATTTCTTTCTATTTGCTTTGTAGTTTAAGTTTATTTTTTTTAACCTAATGAGAAAATTTTGAAAATATATTGGTCGGTTGAAGTTCAGAACAAAACAAATATAATTTATCTAAAATGCATTTCCTGACAGCCATACTAATTTCAACAAATACACAAATTGTGGAAAGTTTTAGTTTTTGCAAAATTACATGCGGCAGATTGACAATTATCTGTCCATGTCAAATAACTTAGAAGCTTATAGCATTCTGGAAAAGTTTCAAAGTTTATCAGATATGAAATTGGAGATAAAGAAGCATTTGCGGGAAAAACCTTCCTTAATTTGATGAGATATTTCTTTTAAAGCGCTTGAAGTTCATTCGCTAAACTAAAATAGCAGACATTTTGGGTGAAAATTGAACAACCTTTAAATATTAGTAAACGATGAAAGGCCTAGAAAAAACGAGATCTTTTGCTAAACATATCATTGTTGATATATTTAATTCTCAGGTCTTGAAAATTTTGACAGCGAGCGCCTTCTGTTAATTTAAGCTTGTAAACATCAAAAATGATCGCATAACAATACTCATTGAGTCTCAGTGAAAAGCAATTGTTTTCCAATACTTTTGTAAAAGTGTTGCAATGCTTGCATAAATTTTGTTGGATTCAGTGCATTTTGCTGGTGTTTCGAAAAGCGGAAAGAAAGAATTCATGAAAAAGAGAAGAATATTCCGAAATTGTTAAACTTCATGTAAATACTATAAATTGTAAAATACTTGAAAGAAGCGAAAATTTTCTGGACAGTTACTTTGCAGAAACTAAATAGTTTGATTTCCACTTTTTATTATTTAATTCAAATATTTACTTACCCATTTTTTTGAAAGAAAATGAAAAATGGATTTTGTCAAATTAGCGAAACATTTGAATTTTGCCGATAAAATTCTGTAGCATAATTTCCGAAATGAAATTTCTTTCTCAAATCAATCAGCTTCTAATT